AATATTACAGTTGTGTGACCTGCTCACAAATTCTCTGTGAAAACGCTGCCAAACCTCAACAATGAATCAGCATACACAAATATATTTACCACCAAATGCATGAATCTGATTGGCTGATAGGGCTATGAGGTATAATAATGCTCTATAAGGGGTGTTGAGATTGATACAATACATGTTGTACAGAAACATGAATATTAATTAGTTTTTTTATGTAATTCTGATGACCTCATTATTGCAAAGATTAGGTGAGATATATTATTGCGAATTTTTCAAGGCTTTTTTTTTCTCACTTTTGCGATGCAAAGCAAGGATTTTACCAGGTGGCCAAGTGCATTGTTAGTTTGTATCCAAATTGAATTATTATTTGTTATTTAATTTTGAGATTCTCATCGGGCAAGGTTGTAATAGTTTTGCTATGTTTTTGCTCTGCTTTCATCACAACAAATTTACCAAGCATGTATTTCTCAGATTTGTGTTTTGGTCTAAAATGACATTTTCACATTCTAAGACACCAGATAGATTAACCCTTTCACCACCAGTTCCTTCTTTTCATCACAAATTCAAAAATAGTCCCATTTATAGTCTGCACTTTTCTTCAGAACATTGGAACAAAAATAGGCACATTTTTTATGTAAAACTGAAAATTTACCTAAATTTTGTTTTGTTTACCTAAATATTGAAAAATATAAGAGAAGAAACATTTGGGCTAGAAAGTCTAGTATATACAGAATATATTCTGTATTCAATTGTATGAAACAACAGGAAAGGAATGTGCACATAAACTGGCAGGAAATTATCGTATTTTAGCTTTCTTTGAAGGATTTCCAGGGCTCAGTCTTGGACAGGGAAGTTACTGTTAAGGTGCAACAATACAGCAGTGATCAAGTCACTCTGAAATTCATGCAGTAACTGGTCCCAGTCGTGTACAAGAAAACACAGCCTTAGTTACAAAAAAGTCTATTGAAATTTTGTAAAAATATTTCACAGAATGTTAATTAAATTTAATGTTTCATATTATTCTGCCAAATGAACTCTGAATACTTTATTATATGGAATTTTCATAATACAAAACAACATGCTGTGGTAGTAGAGGACAACTATTATAATTAGAACATCTGATATGGCTAGCCTGGGGCTGACATGTGTCAAAATTCTGAAGACAAGCGATGATATTAAACAAAAAACATAGCAACCAATGCTGTCAAGCTGTCATTAAATTAAAATCAAAAAAGTTACATGCACAGACTAGCCCAAGGCTTGTTTGATAACACTAAAGTAATGTGGTGCTTAAGTTGTACTGTATAAAAATCAATCTTTGGGGTAAAATATGTGTTACATGTATGTGACCAAAGCTATCACAGATGTTGTAGCCCAATCAATTTTTAAAACTGATTTTTAAAAACTCATCATATAATATATATTTTTATTGAATTCCATCAAGCATTTCATAGAATTCGACATATTCCAGAATTCTGTCTAATTTCTATAAATATTTTCAATAATAGTTAATATAGTTTTACAAAAATTCTACTGATACTTGTATTATACAGGATGATTTCTAATTTTGTACGGACAATGGTATTATTATTAGAGCAATTATAATTCAATCAATGTGTATATGTCTGTCTTTACATGTATCTTGGCATGCCTGGATTGATCCCTTTCAAAGATGGCCAAGTGGCAGCCATTTTAGTGATTAACATTCATCAAATCAAGCATTTCTGTCCAGATCTTGATTTGTTTACCTTGATGCATACTTCAACATACATCATACATCCTATGATATATAAGATGGCCAAAGGGCAGCCATTTTTGTCCTAAAAATCAAACATTTCTGTCATTTGTTTTTTTATGGATCGGTTTCAAAATCAGGCATTGTGTTGCCATTCCAAATCAGAATAAAATCAACCTTAACTCATAGGTTATACATCACTCAAGTCCTGATTCAAAATGGCTGATAATAATAATAATAACAATTTATTTCTTTACCCATAATTTACAAACACTGTTGTAATAAAAATTGTCATAGGTAAAAAGAACCTGAAACAGCTACAGAGCAAATCGAGTCAAATCGCTGATTGGTTTCAGTTTTGTTATTGACAACTGTGTCAGGTCAATGACTTATTTTTATTGCATTCCATCATTTAAACTGTCAAAAGTTGATGACAAAATTATTTTTATAAAGATATTTAATTGGTTTTAAATTATGTTTTCTATTCAGACATTTTAGCAATACTGAAGACAATGTAGAATTGCAAGTATTCCACAGAAATAAACTGTTGGATGATTTCCTGGGCTATGTTGCGATTCCTATACGAGACATTGAATTCCATGGCATTCCTATTAGAAGGTGAGTACATTTTTAAAGTGTATCGTTGCACTCTGTTCTAGCATATTCGTGCGAGCGAACATCCAGGCATTTTAATCGTTGAAAACACAATCAAAACATTCCAAAACTGTCATT